TAGAAGTTTGCCAGTGTTTATAGTAGTAACAATTTGGAGGTTATCTCAGTGTCCATTTCTAGGAGATTGAGTAAGGAAAGTATGATAGAATATCCTGCTGAAAGTAAGAGCAATAAACTAGGTGTATACATGGCCAGGAGTAGTGACACATGCCTGTAATCCTAGCACTGGGGAGACTGAGGCAGGAAAATTGCTATGAGTTTGAGGCCAGCCTGGGCTACAAAGTGAGCTCAAGGCCAGCCTGAATTGCACATTGGCACCCGGACTCAAAGACAGAAAAAAAAAAACCCTTAGATATCCATACAATGCATATGGGTTAAAAAACTGCTATGTGAAAAATATCACAGTATCATGTAAATAAAAATTTAGGCTCAAGAAAATTATATATGTATATATGATATGATATGTGATATATGATATGTGATATATAATATATGATATGTACCTGAAGAAAAGAAATCAAACACATTCAAATTACTGAAATGCTCAGAAAAGGGAATAGTAAGTAAAAATATAAGGAAATAAAGGAAAGTACAATGAAAGTTGCTATGGAGCAGCAAGGGGAGTGAGCCATAAACTGAAGGATTAACTCTTCACTTGAGGCTACAAAATGAGAAGGAAAACAAAATAAAACGAAGAGAACATAATGAAGGAAAAGGATACAATGGGATAGACAGAAAGCACTTAAAGCAAAAAGAATTTTATCTTCAGCACAGAACCAAAATTCAACAGTATATTATATATACAAGGCCATCTCAGAGAGAGTGGCTCAGCAAAGTTAAAAGTAAAAAAATGGCAAAGATATATCAAGGCAAGCAATGCTGAAGGCGAGTGGAAAAGGCTAAATTATATGTCTCTTCTAAGCCCCATAAATCTTTGGAATTAAACATTATGACAGCAAAGTACTTGACACATGGACTTCAGGAAAGCAAAAGAGAAATAAACTTAAGCACAATGACAGTAACAAATGATTTCTGTAGACCCAGCAGGTCAAGTGAATAAAAAAGAAGGAAGTGCATGATTTGAATGGGCTGATGAATAAAGAGTTCCTAAAAGATAGATATTGAACTCTGGAACCTGGTAATAAAGAATTCACTGCCTTTTAAGTACTTGTGGGCCATCTAAAACAATTGACCATATTTTAGATCACAATGTTACAAATGCAATCAGGTTTGTTTATTTGTTTGTTTTTAGCACTGGAGATTAAACCCAAGGCCTTTGTGCTGAGCTATATTCCCAGCCATTTTAAATTTTTTTATTTTGATATAAGGTCTTGTTATGTTGCTCCGGCTGAGCTCGAACTTTGATTCTCCTGTGTCGGCTTCCCAGAGTGTTGGCATTATAGACATACACCTCCACACCTGCCTCAGATTATTAAAATAAAACACAGAATTAGGGAAAAATCTTGTCAAACAGTTAGTTTTAAAAATACCTCTTTAAGTCAACCTTGAATTCAAATAAAAAATACAGCTAATCTTGGAGACTCGTTGATTTTCAGAATTGAAGAAAATATCAACAAAACCCATTAAGATAAAAGCAGACACTAATGAATTAAACAAAGATTCTCAGAATAGAATATATGAATAAGCTCAAAAGCTTTTCCACAAAAAATAAATAGAGAAACCACTGAATAGCCTAATCAAGAAAGAAGGGGTAATGAAATGTACAACATTTGAAAACCTGCACCAAACAGAAAATATTACTTATTCAATTTTATGCATATGAATTATCATATTTTATGTACACAAATTTAAAATTTTATCTTATCAAAAAATAGAATAATAGTCATGAAAAATACTGAGAATACTGTTAGGGAGCCATACCTCCAAACATATCAGGTCAGATGATTTCACATTCACTTTTTTTGTAATCTTCAAGGAAAAGATAAATTTAGTAGTATTTAAAGTTTTTTGGCTTCCAGAGAAAGAAAACCGCTAACATAATAAGAAAGCAATATAGTATTGATATCAAAGCTTTTCAAAGCAAGAATAAAAAGCTACAGATAAATTCTTACTATGCATCTATGCAGAAATCTTACATAAGATATTATCAAATAGGACTCAGCAGGATATTAATATATATCACACCCAGGTATCATTGCAAGAATTATTCATTACTAGGAGATCTGTTAACACAATTCATCATATTAAAAGAAAAGAGAAAAAAAGCAACACCATAAAGATGCTTACAAAATTTCAACATCTATTTTTGATTACAGAGTACACAAAATTCTTGCTGATTTATGTAGTTGGTAATCTTTTGATAATTATATATACATATATAAATTAAAAGCGAGCATCATGATGAATGGTGAAATAAAATGCTTATCTATTATAGCTGTAAATAAAGCGATTTGTCTATTATGGCCATGAATAATTAACATTGTTCTGGAAAAGCTGGACAATGCCCTTCGGAAGGGAAGAAGCATGATTGCTATAGGTGGTAGAAGGAAGTAAAATGATTTTACCTGGAGATATAACTACATATTTTGTAAAACCTAAGAGAATTAACTGAGAATATTAGAAATGATAAGCAAACTCTGCAAAACACTTGGGTTACAACAATCAATTGATATGTTAAGTGTTGTAAAGATGAACAAAATAATAATGACAACAACAATAATGAAAATGGGGAAGGGAGATTTAAAGACAGAGGGAGGCAAATGGGCAGACAGGGAAGGGGAGGAAAAAAGAATTAAGATGTGTTACGGCCACGTACCCAGTCCCTGAGATGAATGCAAGCTGGGTGTATAGCAAATGCGTACCATTAAAAAAATTAGTAGGTATGACCCAACATTTATCCTATGTAGTGAAGCAGACATCTGAGAAATATAATGGAATAAAACATCTATACAATAATGTCAGTGTAAAAGGCTAAAAATAAAATTAACAAGAAATAGGCAAAATGCATAGGAGGATAATTAAAAAGCTGCTGAGAGAACTAAACAAAGACAGCATAAATGGAACAATATATCATTCTTGGATTGGATGATTACACATTATAAAAGTATCAATTTCTCTTAAAGTTAACCTCTGATGGCAATAAAATTCTAGCACAGTCCCAATTAAAATCCTAAAAAAACCCAGCTTTTGGAGTTTTACTTTCAGTGAGTTAACATATAAAACCCAACATGGATGTGGGAAAAGAGAAGGGAAAGAAGGAGAAATTTTGCATGTATGTATATACAGGATAGTTAATGTAGTTGTTCTACTGTCTTCTATTTCTCTGCTGAAAGAAACTGTCAATGAGTCCTTGATTAATCGATGTTGCATGTCTCTATCTGTTTTCATGAAAAACCACTTTGAAGATATCAGTATGTAATACAACAAGCATTGTTAATTTCCTACCACTTTGTTTGTAACTCTGTATTGTCTGTACTGTTCTTTTGCTATTTTGTAAAAGGTTGTCTGTCTGTTAATGTTTTCCTCCTTTTATTTAAAAAAAAAACCCAGCATGTGATATACATTCAATAAATTGTCTGTCAATATAGACATCTAATACATGAAAAAAATACATGTCATTTTTCTTCTCCGCACCCCCATCCAGATTCAAAACTTAACTATCATTTTTTTTTTTTGCAATAGGGTCTCACTATGTAGCCCAGGCTGGCCTTGAACTAGCAGTAATTCTCCTGCCTCAGCCTCCCAAGTGCCAGGATTATAGGCATGAGCCACTATACTCAGTCAATTTCTAGAAGAAACTATCGAGTCAAATATTTCTTGAGACTTAGACAATACTAACCAAGAAACACTGAAGACTGGGAGCTCCTATGATTGGTTACATCATGGAACATATGGCTTCTTTCCATTACATTTGTAATCTCAAAACTAATGAAAGAAATGAGCATAAAGGGCCTTTTTCAAAATTGAAAACCCTGAACAGAATTCTCTTTACCATCTAGCACGCTTCTGGCTAATTTAATGTCATTAATTAGATATATAAATGCAGGGACTTAACTTCCATTAGAACTTAAATCCAGGCCAAAATAATATGAGATCTATCATTTCCCTGCTTTCAAATGTCCGTGTTGTGAGGATTATACTCTTTTTGGCTTCTTTAAGAGAGGAGAGGAGAATTACCTAACCTAATGCGGAAAGTTGGGGCAAGTACAACGAATGCAGGAACTTGGCTTTTCATTTCTCCCTGCAAACATGTGCCTGCCCATAGTAACACGCATTCAGATCTGCTGTCATCTCTGCTGTGAGCAGCTGCTGCAGGGACCAGTGTCAGGCATGTGTCTCTGGTGCTTACATGGGTGTGAGTAAGTGTCGAATCTGCAGTGAAAAACTTGAATGACTGCTCTGGCTGAGTATTTAAGCCACATCCTTCCATTAGTCACTGTGTGTTAATAAAGCTAGTAGGTTCTAATAAAAAAGAATAAAATGCTTTTTTGAGTCAGGATTTGCTTTTTTTTTTTTTTTGAGATAGGATCTCACGATGTAGTTAAGGGTGGCCTTGAACTCACTACATAGCCCAGGACAGCCTCATACAGGCAGTGATCCTCCTGCCTCAACCTCCTGATTGTTGAGATCACAGATTGTTGAGATCACTACACAGGCAGGATTTGCTTTCTGGACAGGATAGTTTTAGGGTACAAAACTTTAGTGTAAATCTTTTACATTGATTTTAGCATCAAATTCTTTCGTCACTAAAACTACCTTTCCAAGAAGTCCTATATGTACATATGAGCATTTCTTTATGTGTTAAAATGGAATTTCTGTTAAAATTGTACTGTTAAATTTAATAAATACTATAAATAATGTGCATATTATAGAACAATATTGTCAAATATGTACTTATTCATATATATTTATATTTATATATTCATAAAAGCTTTTTGGAAGTATTAGAGAAGTAGTTACCTTTGAATGTTAGTATTTTGGCTAATGTTTCCTTTCTTTTATTTTTTATGTAACATTGTTTTCTAATGTGCTTTATGTTTATAATTTAAGCAAATATTTTTAAAAGATTCCTTTTAAAGATAGACTCTTTCCAAGTCATTTAAAAATGAAACTGAACACCCATAATTTTCCTTTATTTCATCTGTTGTGTATATCTGCATTTCTACCAGATATACAGCCCAGTTCACCTCCGTTCATTCCTTTCTGTCTCCATCTCCAGCGGCTACAGTTGCCCGGGGAGAGAGCACAGGATCTCCAGGCAGACTGGGGGAAGTCTGCACAAGATGTCACTGTGGGAGAACAATTTCCCCAGTCCTGTGCTCTTTGAGAGACGGGTTTTGAATTTAATGCAGCAGGGTGAGACTTTGGTCCAGAAGGGCAGAGTCAGAGTCCTGCTGAGGGCGAGTCCCAAACAAAGTCATCAAGTCCACTGGGAGATGTGAGGCCATTGAGGTCTGTAAGGCCTGAAAGAAGAAAATCTGAGGCCCGCTGGTTTCCAGTCTCCAGGTCTTCAGAAAGTACCAGGCTAGAATTCTGTAGAGAAAAAGGGAAGAAGGGTAAGGCGGGGGTGATCCGGGAAAGAACTGCGTAAACACACTCATAAGATCCCCCAAGGAGAAGTGAGGCCTGGAAGGAGGAAGAAGGCCCACAGAAGCCTCAGATTCAAGCCCCGCACGGGAGCCATTCCAAATCAGCCCTCGGAGTTTCTGCCCAGACCTGCGCCTTTACAAAAGGCCTTTCAGAGTGTGTGCTGTTTGATTTTGTCTGATTCAGTGGGGAAGTTGGGATGAATGTTACCCTACTTTTTTTGACAAAGGTACTGAGCTTCAGCTTATACATTTACTTCTATGGCTGGTGTGTGGGGGAGGCAGCCTTCAGCATCGCACAGCTGACTCCAAATATCAGATCCTTTCCAGCACCCCATACTGACTCCATCTTCTGAACAAGCCACGACTATTACAAGCTCCTTAAATTGGGCATGGGCCCATAGGCCCTATTGATTTTTCTTCTCACAGAGTACCTCTGAAAGACTGGTATATGTCTGGACCATGGCCTTGAAGGGCTCCATGAAGGTGGGAGCAAAGGTCTGTCCAGCTTCCATGCTATTCAAGTGTTCTGTGGAAACTCCTAGGCCTTCCGAGGTCTTAAATTTTCTTCAATTTACCTCCATCCTGAAGAGCTTTGTTCTTTGCAATTTACGGCCCGACTTCTATGGCGGATTTGTCATCCTCCCCTCACCCCCCACATCCTCTCCAACTAGAATGAGGGCTTCATTTTGATAAACAGAGCTGTTCAGGAAAGAGCTCAGAAGAGCTGAGTAGATTGTAGAACAATGTAAGCAGCGTCACATTGCTTACAACTACTCAAATTGTATAATTCTATGGTTTAATAATTATTTTCTTGGCATTATATCTCAATCCACAGCTATAGAAGCACAGTTGCTTTGTCTTTTGAGAGGGCAAAATAATGTGAACACATAGAAGAAAGCTTGGTCCCAACTTAATGTGAACTAATAGTGTTGCCCTGGCCACAGGCTGCCGTAGGATGCGTGAATGGTTCTGAAAGGAGGAAGGGGAAGTGGGAGCTGGTAAGGAAAATGGGAGGTGGCAGCTAAGGAAGAGGCTCGTTGGGTCAGGCCTTCATGCCCAAGCCCAGACTCTGTCATACCCACCTTCACACACAGCCCCTGCATCCTCATTGTGTCCGCAGTCGAAGGCCTCCACCTGCTCACACTCCGCCAGTGCCACCTCGGTCCCATTGCACAAGGCCACCTGGATGAGCACAGGCAGGGCCTCTGCTGCCACAGGTGGATACAACAGGGCCACTGGGGTGTGCTTGGCTGCTCCGCAGCCCAGCTCCCGGCACACCACAGCCACATCCTTTATGTCCCAGCCATCGTCACACACAGTGCCCCAGCGACCTTCCTGTTCCACCTCCACGCGTCCTTCACAGCGGTGGCGACCATTCATCAGACGGACTTTGTGTGGGGCCTCTGCAAATGGAAAGGGTTAGCACTCTCTGAGGAATGTACGTGCTCTTCAGCAGCTTCCAGGGTAGAAAGAGGTTGTTCGATGGAGGCGGTATTTGTGTGTGGTGTGAGGCAGGGGACTGGGTAAAGCAGGGAATAACCAAGCTTTGGCTTTGCTCTACCTCATTACTATCTCTTACAGTCATCTCATCTCACTGGTGGTCCCACTCAGTGACACCTAGAAAATAAGCATTGCTTTCATTCTGAAAATGAAGAAAAGCAGGGACATACAGACTTGTGGTTGCTTTCTCATGGGCTTTTAGAGGCAGAGAGGAGTTAAAGCTTTCTTTCCGAGAATTGGAGACTGAGGCCTAAAACCTGTTCCATACCTCACCAGGGACTGCACCAACCACAGTCGCTGACTGCATTTTCTCTGCATAGGGTGGAATGTGCACACTCACACCACAGGTCAACCTCTAATCTCTGCCTTTCTTCTGTTTTTTTTTTTTTTTTTTTTTTTTTTGTTAAATGGAATCATCTCTGGCAAAAAGGACAGCTATAAAGCTAGAGCTGTCAAGGGCCAAATTTGCCAGTCTAAGAAAGAAGTTAATGGAGGAATGATGAGGAAAGCGGGTAATACAGAGCCCTTGGATCCAGTTCCACAAAAGGCCCAGTCCATTCCCAGCCTTCCCACCAACATTGCATTTCTGGCAGGGTCCTGGTCAAGTCAATCGGTATAAGATTTCTATCATTTGCAATCAAAATATCCTGTGTGACCAGTTAGTTACTAAGATCATAAGGAAGCCCCTGAACAAAGGTAGATCTGAAATAATAGGTAATAATAAGAACAAAATTTTAAAAAATGAAAAAATCAAAGAGCAAATATATATAAGATTCAGTAACAGCTGAATAAATAAAAAAACTTACTTTAATATAAAGCTAAATATTGGACTTTGTATGCCCCAAGCAAAAAAAAATCATATTATTTTAAATTCCTATGTAGGATATTTATATAAATTGACTGTCCATTAAACCATCAAGAAATTCTAGTAATTTCTCCCAAATAAAAATTTAACAGGGCACACTTTCAATAAATGTTAAACACAAGAATAACAAAAGAATATCTTAGAAATTAATATGACAAAGTTTAAAAATAAAATCTATTTGTAGGAGGTCATAAATGCTGGGTCATTAAAAGAAATGAAACTCTATATTGAATATATGATAGACATTAAATAAATGCAAATATTATGCATCAGAATTTTTAGGAAGAGGTAAAAGTGGTACTTAGAGGTGAGCTTACAGTTTTAAATACATTTAGTAGAAAATAAATGAAGATGAAAAATAAATGTTTAAGAAATTAAAGAAAAAGAAACAAGCTTAAAATAAAAAAGAAGGAAAGAAATGCTGGAGATAAAGGAGAAAAAATCAGAAATAATCAGAAAAGGGCCAGAGATATAGCCCAGCAGCACAGCGCCTGCCTGGCAAGCTCAAGGTCCTGAGTTTGATTCCCGGTACCAAAAACAAACAAACAAACAAACAAACAAAAAAAACACCCCACAAACACAAATAATCAGAGAAACAAAACTCATCTGAACAAAGAAATTATGTAGATTTGAACAATAAAAATAATAAAATAAAATCTGACTGTGAAAAGAGCAATACAACAGAAAAACTTGTGGCAAATCTAACAATAAAAAAGAGATCACACAAACAAATGCATCAGAATCAAAACAACAGCATAATCACAAATTATGAAGACTAAAAATCTGATGAAAACAGTACTTGATAAACTTGAAAATTTAGGTAAAACACAATGTTTTGAATAAAAATGTCTAAATCGTGTTGTAAAAAAATAGAAAATTTGAAAAGACAAATGCAAAAGATTTGACCATAGAGGTAAAAATTTACCAGGTTTCTAAATTTATTTGGGCTAGTTTCCTAAAGACTCCTTAAGTGGCAGATAATTCTAATATTGTTAAAAATTGCTGCAGAAATGATGGAAACTCCTGAAATCATTCTTATGAGTCTAACCAATCCATGAAAAAAAAGATCCCTCACTTATAAATAGGATGCAGAGGGACCAAGGTTGAATCTCAGTGGTAGAGGGTGTGTTTACCATGTATGAAGCCTGTTCTTTTTTTTTCTTTTTTTTCTTATTTTTATTTTAAGAAATAAAGGAAAACATATTAACAAACAGACATCCATTTACAAAATAGCTTAAGAACAATACAAACAATACGGAGTTATGGGCAGAGTTGTAGGAAGTTAACAATGCTTGTTGTATTATATACTGATATCTCCAAAGTGGTTTCTCAAGAAAACAAATAGAGACATACAAGATCGATCAAACAAGTAATCATTACCTGTTCTATTCTGTAGAACAATAGAAGACAGTAATACAACTAGGTTAGCTATCCTGTATATAAATGCTTACATAATTTCCCCTTCTTTCCTGTGAAGCATGTTTTCAATCCCCCGCACCCAGCAAACAAACAAAGTATAAAAGCTTGAAGTAAACCATTAGCAAGTTGTATACAGTTGCAACTCATGATAACTAGGAAGGGTTTATAGGAGGGCTCTCTATTCATATGATTATCTATTAATAAAAGATTAAAAGAAAAAACATCATGTATCTAACATAATATATTAACATGATATCAAAGGGCAGAGTTTCTTGATTCTGGTAGCTGTGGTCTAAAGTTCCATCTTTGTACCTATTTATTGTATTCCTGCTAAATAACCTTGAACAAGTTACTTAAATCTAAATTCTATTATTGCATTTATAAAAGGAGAACTGATGTGGAGATTAAATGAGATAATCCTAGTAAAAATCTAAATCCCATAATCTGTTTTGTCCATGGATTTTCTGATTTTTTCCTTAAGTATCTTTAAGGATTAGTTATGTTTCATTTACTGTGAACTCTGAGTGTGCAAAATCTTTGTAACTTTTCCTCAGGGATGTTTACTTCTTCTCTTTTTGCCTGACCTACTCCTTACACTGACCTGATATCTTCCCAATGCCATGTAAACTATTTCACACATATTTGATTATTTAAGTGAAAGGAAACAGCAGGGTAAATATTGGGCAAGTGATACTGTTTTTAAGAACATGTTGGGCATGGTGGTGCACACCTGTAATTCCAGTGCTTGGGAGACTGAGGCAGGAGGAGTGCTGTGAGTTCGAGGCCAGCCTGGGCTACATAGTGAGTTCAAGGTAAGCCTGAGTTGCATAGTGAAACCCTGTCTCACAGAGCAGAAATGGAAGCTGGGCATGGTGGTACACACCCATAATCCAGCATTCTAGGAAGCTGACATAAGAGGATAGCAAGTTTAAGCCCAGCCTAGGTAATTTGGTGATTTAGCAAGACTATGTCTTTAAAAACAAAATGTCCGGGGATGTGCCTGTATGCAAATACTATGGGTTCAATCCCCAGTACCTCCAAATGAATGAATGAATGAATGAATAAATAAGTAGAGCACCTGGCTGAGCTGGTAGGCTCTTTAGTAGAACTCTCATTCCCTGAGGGACAGGAACATCCAATGAAAAGGAAGCACAAGCCATTACTTGGTATAACCGTAACTGGTTCTCTGGAAGAAAACATTGAGCATGTCCTACCTGTGACGTTAAGGGTCACCACCTCACTGGCTTTGAGTCCCCAGCCATTGTCAGCCTTACAGGAGTAGTTCCCAGAATGGTTTGCAGCCACCGAGAAGTTGAAGGATGTTCCTCCTCTAGCAGGTGCTGAGATGTTCCCCAGAATGTTGTCCCCATGATAGAACTGGTACACAATGGGGGGAGAAGCCCTCCAGTCTTCACAGTGGAGCTCCACCACGTCACCAATAAAGGCCAGGGCCCGAGGAGCACTGATGGTGAGAAGGGGTCTTGATGCTGGAACTGACAGAGGCAGCAGAGTCTATCAGAGAGAGTGTCATAGCTCACAGCCCACCTACCTTCCTTAAGGATTCTCTCCATACTCAAAACCCTCTGGATTTCTTCCTCTGGTTGTACCTCCCGATCTAATCCTGCAGAGATGGCTGCAGCACAGCTCTGCTGATGTGGAGAGCTATGGCTCTGCCCACCATGTAGCCTGCTTCCTATTCTGCCTTCACCCCCTCCTTTAGCTCCTTGGCCACTGCTGCCACTGCCACCACTACCATCAGAGCAACCACCTTGCCTTGTTCCAGTGGCTTTTTGCCTTCGTCAGGCTCTATACCTTGACATCTCCTTGGAGCATCCTCATTGCCCCAGAAGGAAGCTAACCCCGGACAGGAGTGGCTGGCTTGCTGGTTGAGAGAGTGCTACTCACTTCTCACAGTGATGTGCACTGCCTTGCTCTGAACCGGGCCGTAGCTGTTGTCAGCTGTACAGTAGTAACCCCCGGCATGGCTCTCCTGAACCACAGGGATCTGCAGCTCTGCTCTCTGGGAGCGCTGACTTTTTGTCCCCAGATTCTCCTTTGTGTCCTCCCTGTACCAGGAGAATGTGATGTCCCCGGTGCCTTCAGCCACAGAGCAGACAAGGATCAGCCTCTCCCTTCGACTGCCTGGCCTCCTGGAGGGTGGGTCTCCATGGAGACTTCAGACACAGAGATCCCTGCATGAACAAGAGACAGTCAGTGAGGGCCAGGCATGGGGAGGGGAGGAAAGGGAAAAGAGCAGTTTGAGCATTATGGCACGTGGGTTGCTCAAACTGAATGTTTAGGCAGAGGAGAGTCCACCCACCCTATTACAGGATGCTCTAATTTACCCCTCTCTAACAAACCTGCCCTGCACTCTACATCTTTAGCCCTCTCATGATTGCAGCCTGCAGTGACCTCTTGACAGTAGGGGCAGTAGGAGCAGCAGGAAGGGCACAGACTTGAGAGTTGGCTCACCTGAGTTACACCTCAGCTCTGCAACCTGTTCATTGCGTGATCCTCAGTTTTCTCAAACATAAAATATAGGCAATCATACTAACCTCACAGAGTTCTCCTAAAGGTTAAGTAAGACCCAGATATAAAGTAGCTTTTTCATGGAAGCTGTTAAGCAGCACTTATTACCAGCGCTGCTCTCTACTGGTGCGGTTGGGTAGGAAAGGCTGCAAAGTGGTTAAAAGCCCCACAGTGGAGCCACAGTGACTGGATTCAAACTCCAGCTCCACACTCTGGGTTATCTCGGGCAAGTTTCTTGACAATTATCTGCCTTTAGTTTCCTCATCTGGAAAATGGGAAATGTGACAGTACCTGCTTTGTAGGTACTATTCACAATACTATTTCTCAGGGCTTCTGTGACAATCAAATGTTAAACTTCTCTGAATGTCCATGAATCTTCTCCTCTGCAGACATTTATGAGCACCAGAGGGGTTTTTCTAGAACTGAGCACAACAGCCAAAGTTCGCTCCTGGCATGTATTAAGTCACATAGTAAATACCAGAGATTTTTATTGTCATTTGTATTATTATTTTTACTGTAGACCTTCGTTGCTCTACCTGGGTCAAATGTGTCTCCTAGTTGGGGATTATTTCTTGCAGACAGAGACCATGATTTATTTATCTCTTGGTTTGCCGAGCATACGTCAGCACTAGTTGTATGGTAAGTGCTCCATAGAGATATTATTATTTTTGCTTTCCTGACAGGGTGAACAAAGATATTTGGAAGTGATGCATCTGCAGGAATTAATAGAAAAGAGCCCAGGGGAGCCACGGTAGCCCCCACACTCACAGAGATCAGAAAGCACAAATGAAAAATGAGCCCATAGTTCAGCTGGTGCCCTGATCCAGCCCCGGCAGCCCAGCCACTGATGCTCACTCTGCACGCTTATGTAAGTTTTGCTACTCTTCTTCGAGACACTGTAGGATGATGTCTTTGCCTCACACCAGTAATATCCTGAGTCTTCTTTGCGTATTGCCGAGATTTCAAACTTCGATGACCACTCTCTCCAACCTAGTGTGCTGTAGTCTCTGCTGAAGTCGTAGCGAAGAGAGATCCATGACCTGTCTGAGGGGAGCCTGGTGTCACAAGACAGGGTCAATGAGCGTCCCTCTGTAGGCCAATAGGGGCTGAATGTCAGTGTGGGCACTGGAAACAGCTCTGGAGGGGAAAATGAAATAGTGATCTAAGCAAGATACACAGATCTAGACTCAATGACATATAGCCCACCTACCAGCTTTCCCTCCCGGGTGGTCTCCTCTGCCCTGTGCCCTGGCCCTCCCACAAAAGCCCTACTCCCTCCCAGATTCATCCACTTGAAGAATGAGGCCCTCACCTTGGACAGTGAGCCATACAGATTCTGTTTCTTCCTGCTTACTCAGAAGCCAGAGAAATTTCCTGTTTGCCTTACAGGAATACCGGCCACTGTCCCCGGTTCTTGCATTGGAAATGATGTAGCCTGAGGCTCTGTTGTGAGTAGATATTTGATGTCCATTCTTGTAGTACACTAGCTCCTTTATGGCATCATTGTCTTCCCCGGAGCACGTTATAGTCACCTTGTCTCCTTCATAGGCCCTGCTTGGCACGCTGATGCTCAGCCAGTCTGCAAGAGAAGCAAGGATAACTTGCACTAGCTGTGCTGCTCCCTGACATGGTGGTCTGACTTTGTTCTTGAAGGGAATGATCATGCTTCCCATGGGAGTTGAGGAGCTGGGCACCCACCGTAGCCTTTGGACCTGGTGGCTCTGTCAGCATCCCTCCTCAGCACAGGTGAGTTTCACTGCGTTTTAGTTACATTTTTGTCCTCCAAACATCTTGTTCATTTTCTGTCTGTTAACAGATTTTGATACCATTTGGTTCAACTGGCAGCACCTGGGCTAAATATGGATTTAAAAATGATTCCATGTGCCCTTCCCTACATCCATTTGAAGTGACACCATGTCCCCATGGAAGCCATGATTAATTTTCTGCATATATCATTCATTATAGACTCTGTTTATCTAGTGCTACAGTCAACTCAAAGACCTTCCCTTAAGTTCTCCCTAGATGAAACAAACTGGGCCCTGGGATCTACACCTTTGGTCTCTAGAGTTCTCCTTTTTCAATGGCTTCTGCACATGATTTCTGTGCATGGGCCTGGATGATCCCCACGGGGAGGGAAATGGGGTGCTCTGCTTCTTCAGGTCACTGTCTCCCCTTGGAGGGGAGTGATTAACAGAGAACTGAGGAGAAGCTTGTATTTTGGATTTGGCCCCAGCAGAGAAAGAAAATACAACAACATGAAGAGAAGCTGTAGGCTGGTCCTTGCAGAGGGAAAGGAAACTCAGCCACCATGTGGCTCTGTGACCCAGCCCTGCAGCTGTGGGCTTTCTGAAGAACATTTCAGTTGATAATAAAGCTAGAAAGATAGGTTCAAATGTCAATTTTTAATTGTAGAGCACTGGGATAGATTGCAGGAAAAATTTTGTTCTGATTAAAAATAGCAGCAATAATAACAACAATAACCACCACTTCCGAACCCCAGGCCTGCACATTGGGTATTCCCCTTCAGTGTAGAGGTAGATACAGAGGAATAGTACAGGAAGGAAATACAGGATCCATCTTCCCAGCTTATTCTTGTAACCACGAGAATGGGTTAGGGGCAGCTCCTGATGGCTTGTCTCAGAAGAGAAATCATATTCCCAAAATATGGCCTAAGTTCCTGGTCTCCAGGGCAGGATCTATAAGGAGGTGGGGAAAAAGCACTTACAACATCCATAGTTTGACTTTTTTTTCCATCTTAAATTTTCTGCATTTGTGTGTATTCTACCATATTCATGCTATTTCATTATAAGACCTATACAATGTATTGGAGATACATGATCAAGTGACCAGAGAAGTTCAAAGACAACTTCTGTTACTTTCTTCGCCACTTTGGAAATCTCACCCTTATAGTAGGTACTGGGGTGGTGGTAGAGGACACAAAGATTGATAAAAGGAGAGAGGTGTTGGAGGCTAAATGTTTTCTTCCTACATGGTGAACAGGATGAGATTTTCAGTGAAGATTATAGTGATGCCATCAGCTTGGTTAAAGAATATTTAAGGAGTAAGACTTATGTGATCAAGTTGATAATAATGACAGAACTAGAGATAAAGGAAAATGCTGACCTGGATTTTACTAAATCTGGAAAAAGGGTTTTGCTGTAAGATACCTGAGTTTGTGGTCTTAAACTTTTGATATGGATCCATTCTCTAAGAGTGGGCACAAGAGTTAATATGCACACATTTTGTAATCATTTCAGAGTCTTTGCTGAATCCCGTGAGGCTTGCTAGAGACCCACACCTAATCAGTTAAAGAACGATCCTGCTTAAAGTATAAGCTGAGGTATATAAACATTACTACCCTTTCCTTTTATAGAATAAATGTGTTCTCAAAGTCAGGATTACAGAGGAAAATGTAACTTTTCAGTCTACTACAAAATCTAACTTTCTTCTTTGTTTCATTACTCTGAAATTCTAATGAGAGAAAAGAACAACAAGTTAAGCATTGGCTAGTGTACAGGTAAAAGATCTAGGGGCATTGTTGTGCTATGCAAAACACCTTCCTAGTCTCTTATTGCTCTGTTTTATAAATAAGTTTTCCATCCCTGTTTCCAGTGCTTCTGGTGGAGATTTTGAGTACTTGTGGCCAGAACCAGGAGATATATTTCCAACAACATAGTACAGTTATCTTCTTTCCTGTCACAGTGCTGAACAGTAAAAGGAAGATAATTTGTTGCCCTGAGAGAGTCAGGGCATGGGACACTTGCTTATCCAGCAGGTAGGTGGCAGAGGAGAGATGAGTGTGACATTGGAGCAGCCTGCCATCGAGGGACATGGGTAAGGAGAGGGGGCATGGAATTCTAGCTCCCCTTGCCCTTGTCTTGGTCCAGACCCCCGAAGTGTGTACCAAGTGGCTGAGACAGGGAGCCCCTCCCACGCCCACAGATATCTAAAAAGAAGGAAATAAAGACTCACCAGACTGGGCACCCACAGGAGCTGTGAGGGAACAGAGTGGGAGAGATTAGCACAGGAAGGTCCAGATCCGTACGATTTTTTAATAACATGTCTTTTTTGTTTGTTTTTTTGAGACAGGGTCTTGCTGTGCAGTTCAGACTGGCCTTGAGCTCACTTTGTAGCCCAGGCTGGCCTTGAACTGGCAATGATCCTCCTGCCTCAGCCTCCCGAGTGCTGGGATTACAGGCGTGTGTCACCACACCGGGCCTGTACGCTTTTCTACAAAGCAATAACTCTTTGAAAACTTCCCACCATTCTTTCCTTCTCTTTGCTTGTATTTCTTCCTACCCCTTTCGCTTCCTATACCTCCTCCTTCCTGCATTTTCTCTGTTTCTTTTTCTCTCTTTCCCTTTATTTTTTCTTTATCTTTTCTTCTTTCCTTTCCTTTCCTCCCAGACAACACTCCTATGGTGCCCATCATTCACGTTATCATCTCAGACAGTTTGTAAGGTGTCTTTGCCCATTACCAGAAGCTTGTCATTTTGCCGGTAAGTTCTTAGGAATTTCATCATTAATTGCCTCCTCTTCTATTTAATTTTTTAGTCTTCTATTTTGTCTGAGATACATTGCCTACCGTAGAGCCACACTGATGCCAGGAAGGTTCACAAAAGAGTGAAGTGTTATGTTTCAGTGACACTGTTTCTCCCTTCTTCTCAGGCCTAGACCTAACATTGTGTTTGATTCCATACAAGACAGTCATATGTATGAGCAAAAGTGATCTAATCTATGGCAGGCAAGACTTGAAGCCCATTCAAAATCTAAGTCTGGGGAGATATGAATGCAGTAAAAAATGGGGTGATTGGAGTGGATGTGGGGTAAGGCAGAGGGGAATTTATGTGGGTCGGAAATGGAATTCACCTTAATAGAAAATTCCTCTGATGTCCTTTTATAGGAGGTTTCTACTTTTCTATAGATCAAAGTAAAAGTGGTGCCAAACAAAGAGAGAAGTCATCAGAGTCTGGTAAAGAGAGGCACAGACCTTTGCTTTTCCTGAGAACTTTATTCTGCTCAATAACTATTTGCATAATACCTGAGAGCACTGAGTTAAAAGCTGAAACCCATGCTTACTCATCCCAGCAGGGAGATTTGTGCTCAGGAAGAGCTTCTGGGATGCCCAGGCCAGGTTATTCTGCCCTGGTTCCAACCCAGTCCTGCTCCAGTATCCTACTCACCGAGGGCCAGAAGCAGTGAGCAGAGCAGCATGAGGTTGGAGGCAAGAAACTCTCCCAGGAACAGTCAGGTCAGCTCGGGTCCTCAGAGCAGCTGTTAATCCACATGGGGCATGAAGCTGCTATGGGGCACTGTGGTTTAGCAGGGATTTTTTTGAAATACAAAAAAAGGAAATGGAAAAGCTCTCTGCCAATCAGCATTATCTGCACCCTAACCCCATGAGTGCTGAGAAAGGAATTGTTCTTCCCCTTTGCAGAGTTGCCGAGATGTATATTGATCAGAAATGCTTCTTAAAATGTTAGATGTCTTCATCCTATTGATAAGCTTTCCACCTCGTTTGACCTCACAGAATATGCCAAGTTCTGGGCTTGCCAAGATTCAAATCACTTGTTTGGTCTTTTTCAAGGACAAATCTTCTTTACTATTTGATACGGTTTAGCTCTAAAGTATCTCCCCAAAGACTCCTGTGTTCAGAGGTGGGGCTTTCAGAAAGCAATTGGGTCATGAGGGCACTAATCTCACCAATGGATCAACCCATTGATGAGTTCACAGCTGACTGGGATGCTCTGAATAGAAGGAAGGCCCTGTTGGAGGAAACAGATCACTAGGAGTTTGCCTTTGAAGGGTACATCACTCATCTCTCTCTTTGTCTCTCCCTGCTTCCTGGCTGCTATGAGGTGAGCAATTTTCCCTTATGATGCCCTTTGTTTGTGATATGTCTGCTTTGGAACCTGCTGATCATGGACTGAAACCTCTGAAATTGTGAAACAAATGACTTTTCCTCCTTAAGTTGTATATGTGAGATAGTTTGTCCCAGCCAAGCAAAGCTGACTAACACATTACTCCAGATGTTCAGTTTGCTATGCAGTTCCTAACACAAAGACACCATGCCAATATCATACTGATGCTGCTCTGTAGAGATCCATCCAGAATTCAGGAAAAGAAAGACAGGAATTTATTTTTTTGTCTTTTTGAGACAGGGTCTCACTATGCAGTTTAGGCTGGCCTTGAGCTCACTTTGTAGCCCAGGCTGGTCTCGAGCTCGCAATGATCCTCCTGCCTCAGCCTCCTGAGTTCTGGGAGCCACCACGCCCAGCAAGACAGGAAATTATTAGAAATGATGTTGGTGCTAAGATGATACTAGATGGTACCCTGTATGGGCCAGAAAAATACAAATTCTGTTTAATTTGCTTATGAGATATTCTGGTTGAATACACGCAGGAAGGAAGAAGCAGCATGAATATCCTGTGGTATTTGAAGCTAAACTTAGCCCCAAGCTACAGTACAGCTGCTTGAAAGGTATTAACATACACAGGAGAGTCTGTGTTTTTCAAACTCCAAAGTTCAAGTGTGAATTTTGGCAGAGAGTTCTTACATTAGGTATCCTTAGTGGTTACAAGAAGGAATCTTAGTTCTGGGGGTATATCTCATCATACAGGAGGCATTGGGTTTAATATCTGGCACAAAGAGAGAGAAGAAAGAAGAAAGAAAGGAAGGAAGGAAAGGAGGAAGGAAAGGGAAGGAAACAAGAAGGAAGAAAGGACGGAATGAAGGAACTTAAATGAAGGAACTGCCTACAGAATTGTGGCAGGACTAATGCAATAGCCGAAAGACATTGAACCACGTGGAGACCACAGTGGAAAGTTGTTACAAGCCTTTCACTTTTACAAGCCTGAAGAAGCAAGAGGAGCAACGACTGTTAAAAAAGCCCAATGGGAACTGGAGTCACAGAGAAGAAGCTGCCAGGTGGGACTGGGATTATAGAGACACAGCTACAGCCCAAGATTGGGTGCCAAAGCTGAGAGGCAGGGGAAGAAACCCCCTGACTCTCTTCCTGCTGGCTGACCCCTGTGGGCGCTTCCTATGGATGGAGCCCAGCTATGAGCCAGAGAGGCAGTTGACGCAGACTCAGGCACCAGGCTCCCAGGGCACAGAGAAGCAGAGAAGGGCAGAGAGCATGTGGGGTGGTGGTGGAATGTGGAGTTCAGGTGGAGAATAAGTAGCACAGTCCCATTGCGGGGGGATTGTTCCTGGCAAAAGTCTTCCCTTCCCCATGTTGGAATCTGCCTGTCCTCTCTTGAAGCCATCCATGTGTGTAGTGCCAAGGTGTGATGAAATGTTTAGGTCAAACCAAGCAGAACGCCTTGATCATTTTCAGTCAACCACATGAAGGGCTAATACTGATAAAAGATTAAATGGCAAATTCACATTTTTAATTAATGATTCTGGCCCAAATTCTCTTTAACCTCTCTTTAGCTGTATGATGTGATAACTCCTTCTCTCTGAGTCATTCTGTCCCTGGAATAAAGATATGAGTGTAACAGTTGAAGCAAATCAGAGCTTGTTGAGGTTACCAGGTGCTGTCTGCCACTGTGTTCTTGTGTGAGGTCTGGGGCAGAAGAGGCCGAGGGTACAGACTCCAGGCCCACTTTGCTGCAGGTAGGGAGAGGAGAGAGTGGTAAGGACTCACCCTGACACACACCTGCCTTGTAAGCCCTTTGGTGCTTCATGCTTGAGAAGAGTGGAAGACAAAAATAGAGAGGCAGAAGTGGTTTAAGTCAAAGCATCTGGTTTTGAGAAAACAAGATGATGTGAGTGATGAGAGTGGAAATAAAGTGACGTCACTAGAGCACAGTATCCCCAAAGGCCCAAGGATTTAGTTGTAAGATGTGACTCTGTCCTGCAATGGATAGACTGCAAACTTAGAGACTATTTAGAAAAATGCTTCTTTATTATTACATGGTCCTTTGAGATCCTGCTATAATATAGATACACTTTATTCTCACAAATACATAAACATACAAAGGTAGTGGGTTTTTAAAGGTAATTCAATTCAATTTAATTTAATTTAATTTAATTTTATTTTATTTTTGGTACTGGGAATCGAACTCAGGACCTTGTGCTTGCCAGTCAGGCGCTTGTGCCGCTGTATCCTAGGCCCTAAAGGTAATTTTAGAGGTTTAAAAACTTTCAGAAGTGATCCAGGGACACCAGATTAAGAGCTCCTATGATAGTGCTGTGTAACAGCAAGGGTCAGGCAGAATAGAGATGGTTAGTTATATTTTCAAAGGATAGATTCCTGTAAGACACAACTTTGTCCATGGAAGATTAAAGCTGCATCTTCAGTTTGGGAGGCTGAGGAAAGAAGATTGCAAGTTTGAACCCATTCTGGGCAACTTAGTGACTTAATAAGACCCTGTTTAGAAAATAAAAGGAGGGGAGGGGCTGGGGATGTAGCTCAGGGAGAAAGCTACATCCTACCATGGGTTCTGCTGCCAGTACTGTAAAACCAAACCAAATCTCTGGCTCTTCTCTGCTAACTACATTCAGATTTTAAGCCATGAGGAAAAATGTGGTCTATTTTTGTCAATTCATTAATTAAGAAAAAAAAAATAGAATCTCGGACTTCAGAGCTGCCTGCTGTGGCTCTTGCTCTCTAGAATATCCACCATCCCATCTGGAGACAACAACCAGCTGGGGACAGCAGAGAGATTTTGGAACATCTGTTCTGCCGAAAATGGAGTTTTAACTTTCTCCAGCTCCTTGTGTAGCTGTGGATGTCTTGTCTTCCAACCAGCTTTGGGTTTTCTCTGCTGGATGAAATGTCATTCATCCAGGAAGATGAGCAAATGTCACAGATTCACATGTCCTTTTATATATATATGACAGGGAAGGATTCTGAGATCAGCCTAGGCAGGATTTCTTAACTGTTAGATCTTGCAACTCTCTGAGAAACTTTATTAAAGCCCAGCAGTATTGATTCCATGTATCCATGGAGGATACTGCCAAGAAAATGGGAAAAGTCACAAAACCGTGAAGTAATTTCTCATGATGAGAATTTCCCTTGCTGGTGGGTGATGTTTGGTAGGTCTACCATGCCTCTGAGCAAAGAAACTATGGAGCTTCAAGAATCAAATACAATTAAAGATGAAAAACCCCACTTGCAGGTCCTCCAGATCTTTGATTGGAAAAGAAATCTTTCCTACAGTCTCTAGAAGTGTGGCTGGTAGTAGACTTTCTGCCTGATGTGTCCACCTTTCAATGGTGCATCCTCTACACTGGTGACTGGCACCTTCCCAAAACCTAGGTCACTGATACAGACATACAATGATTTTCAAAGAGTGAAGTGAGGTGGTGTCTGTAGGTTTTGCACAGCAAGGAAGGGTTGGCCTGGAATGTGTGAGCAGGTGGTATAGCCGATGACCATGAAGAGCATCTAGCTGTATTCTAGATCTGGCCACTGGCCTAAAGCACACATGGAGAGATGCATTGCTCAACTGATGACTATAACAAGGTCATATTTATAGAACTACCCCAAGTCCACAGTGTTCTAATAATCCAATGCACTAAAAGAAACTCCTGTCTTTCTTTCAGAGTGGGATGATTAGGAAAGATACAGGTATAAGCAAAAGGGCTCTGGTCTAGACTTTAGGAACAGCAACTGAGGTCATTTTGAAAGAGTAGGTATTAAGGTACCACTTCCAAGCATAGAGGCACTAAAGGCAAAATTAAAGAACCTAAACTGATGTTCATGGCTATCTTTCTGCTGCCATGCAAGGAAAATGAGATCATGGCAATAAGTTGAAAAAACAAAACAGAAAAAAACCTCTAACTTTTTTTTTGGTACTGGGAATCAAACTCAGGACCTTGCACTTGCCAGGAAGGTGCTTGTGCCGCTGAGCTATACCAGGGCCCCAAACCCCTAACATTTGTATGAAGAAATCTGTAACTAGCAGTTCCTTTTCCTCCCTCCCTCTCTTCCTTCCTTCCTTCCT